CTTCTAGTCTGCCCACGGTACCGCTAAGCCTCCTGTTCCCATTTTCCATCTTCTTCTCTTTCTGAGCTAGAATCGAAGTAACTTCTTCGGATCTGTCTTCCAATTCACATGTGCCTCTTTCGGCTCTTGCTAACCCTATAATTGCTTATCCAGATTAGCTTTTTTTTTCTTTTCACTTTTGAGAGCTTCACTTGATGCCTTTTCAGAGTTATTTCAGGCGATCTCACATTGCTCATTCTCTGATTCTAGGTTTTATTTCATTAATCACGTCACACATCATTAATAATGCCAATTTTTAAAATCCTTGGGGGGATTAATTTAAAAAAACAACAACTTGGTAATTTCCGCACCTTTCATTTTCTTGCGTATTTGATGATCTTTGGTGTGAGCTCAGCTTTATTTGCCATTAACCTGTGGGGTCCGAATAGAGGGTACTTCCCTCATGGAGCCCTGGTGGCATAGTGGGCTTGCTCACCGAGCCGCTAACCTCAGAGTCCGTGGTTCACACCCACCAGCAGCTCTGCAGGAGAAAGATGAGGCTGCCTGCTCGTGGTGAGATGTGGCGTCTCGGAAACCTGTGAAGTTAAAAGCTTGGAAACGGGCCGTTCTGCCCTGGCCTGGAGCAGCGGTTCTCGACCTGTGGGTCTCGACCCCTTTGGGGGTCGAACGACCCTTTCACGGGGGTCGCCTAAGACCATCAGAAAACACATATTTCTGATGGTCTTAGGAACCAAGACCCCGTCTCTTGGTAAGTCCGCCCACATGCAGATATGCCCATCTACGAGTACCCATGCTACACGACAAAATTTCATTTATTGTTAAATTTCATTTATTTATCATTAAATATTTCATAGTATAGGATCACACATTGTCTTTGTGATTCATCACTATGCTTTAATGATGTCCAGATAGTAACAATGAAAATACATCCTGCCTATCAGATAATTACATGACGATTCATAACGTAGCAAAATGACAGTGATGAAGTAACGGCGAGAGTAATGTTATGGTTGGGGGTCACCACATGAGGAGCTGCATGAAAGGGTTGCGGTCTAGGAAGGTGGGGAACCACTGGCCTAGAGGGTTGCGAGGAGCCAGAATCCACTTATTGGTGGTGCGTGTTTTGGTCTTCCTTCACGGAGAACTTTGGTTTTCGCCTGCTGGGAGCCCCTCAGTTTCCTGGTATCCTCCAGGAGGATCTGTTGTAGTGGCTCCCACTTGGTGTTAGCCACAGGTAAGGGCAGCTCTCCGCCGCCCTTGCCAGTGAGCCCTGCTCAGCTGGTGCAGGCCGAGGGCCTTGTACTCAGCCACCACAGCCACGTTAGGACCTGGGGGTGGAATGGCCGTGTGGAGTGGGGCAGCGGGGGCTCGGAGGTCTCCAGTGTACACCAGCCCACTCTTTGTCTCCCCAGGCCTGGCTAGCATGACCCGGAACCTGGAGCCCCTTCAAAAGAAGCAGGGCTGGGACTGGGCGTAAGTCCGGGCAGTGGGAGGTAGCTGGACTGGTGGGGGACCGGGCATGGTGGGCTAATGGTCCCTCTGACTGACCCTGCTCTTCCTCCAGGATCCCTCTGGTCAAGCTGACCATCCGCGTGGGGCTGGCGGCCGTGGGTGCTGCGCTTGGTGCCTTCCTGACCTTCCCAGGCCTGCGGCTGGCCCAGACCCACCGAGACGCACTGAAGATGGCTGAGGACCGGCCAGGGCTGCAGTAACGTGGGGGGTCGGGCACAGAACGGGGCAGTGGGGGTGGGGGGTGGGAAGGCTGAGGTGCATACCCTATGTCTGACCCTCCCTGGTGCCCACAGGCTCCTCCTACACGCCAACTTCCTGTCACCCCTGTTCGTCCTGTGGCTTTGGACCAGGCCCATCGCCCGGGACTTCCTGCGGCAGGCGCCTCTTGGGGGTTCATCTGTCTCCTTGTACGTGCAGGAAGACGGGAAGGGGAGAGGCAGTCTCTGAGGCACAGGGAGGGGGGTCTGCCCTGGGGAGGGGAGACGGGTTCTGCCTGGCCAGCCCTGCCCCCCTGGCCCTCCCCACGCAGGCTCTCTGACTCTGCCTTCGACTCTGCCCGCCTCTGGGCGCTGCTGGCGCTGTGCCTGCTGCGGCTGCTGGTGACGCGGCCTCACCTGCAGGCCTACCTGAGCCTGGCCAGGGTGCGCGTGGAGCAGCTGCGGCGGGAAGCTGGCCGCATCGAGGCCCGGGAGATCCAGCGGAGGGTACGGCCCCGGCCAGGGGAGCTGAGGCTGGTGGGGAGGAAAGCACGGGGTGGGCTACAGTGCCCTGAGAGGTGGTGGTGCCCGTTTCTGGGTGCAAAACCTCCCTGAGCCCTCGTTCTCCTGCCCCAGGTGGTCCGGGTGTACTGCTACGTGACTGTGGTCAGCCTGCAGTACCTGACGCCCCTCATCCTGACCCTCAACTGCACACTACTGCTCAAGTCGCTGGGTAGGGGATCGCGGGGGGCTGGGGAGCCATGCTGGGCGATGCGCAGCGCAGGGTGGGTGCCAGCCTCGCCTGAGCCTGCTTAAACGACCCCCTCTCAACAGGTGGCTACTCCTGGGGCCTGGGCCTGGCTCCCCCGCTCCCTACTCCTCCGTCCTTAGCCGATGCTGCCCCTGCTGGCCCGGAGCGGGACTCAGCCCAGGAGACGGCAGCCCAGATCGCAGGGGCACTGGGCAGCCTGCTCACACCCCTCTTCTGCCGCGGCATCCTCTCCTTCCTCATCTGGTGGACGGCCGCCTGCCAGCTACTCTCCAGCCTCTTCGGCCTCTATTTCCACCAGCACCTGGGGGGCTCCTAGCCACCTGTGTGAGCCTCAGCCTCCCACCACGGACCCTACACCACAGTGCCTGACCTCAGAGCCCTGTCCCAGCCCGGGGCCTCTGTGCTCTGAGGGGGCGTCGGGGCAGGAGGGCAGCATGGGAGCCACGCTCTGGACAAATAAAGGAGCAGGCTGCTCCCTGAGGATGGTGGCTGAGTGGTCCGGGCAGCCTGCTGCCCCTCGCCGGTGCTTGGCCACTGGGGTGTGGGGTAGACTGAAGATAGGGAGCCAGGGTTGAGGGGAAGGAGGGGGAAAGAATGCATGGGGAGGGGGGGCTAGAGGGGGAGCGTAAGTCAGTGCTAAGACTGGGAGGCAAGGGAAATGAGGGCCTTATGTGGGAGAGGGGTGAGGCCAGGACAGGAGCCCACTAGCATCACCCTGAGTCTCAGTGCCTTGGCTCCCTGATAAGATTGAGGGTAGGGGGAGGAGCCCAGGACTGGGACTCCTAGGGCAGGGGCAGCCATCTCTATGCCCCGTAACATCACTGTCCTGCACGCTCATGTGTCCAGGCTGCGTGGCCAGCCCCACCCTGGGCCTCACGTCTCACTAGGACACACCTGTGGGTGCCACCTGCTCATTTGAAACCTCCCACCCCCACCTGCTTCTGGGCTGCACATGGGGGGGGTGGTGGCGGGGAGTCCCCCTAGGCACCCCCGCCAGCCACCCTGGGGCCTTGAGGTGGTGCTAAGACCATAGCAAAGCCAGTACCATGCAGGATGTGGGGACCCAAGCCGGGATCCTCACCAGCTTCCAGTTTCGCAGTAAATCATACCTCCCCCAACCCCGGGCCCACCAGTATGTCACCTCTGGCCACGCTCTTAGGACTGGCACAGGGCAGGGGCCATCCTGGGGCCCAGAGAACAAACCAGACAGCTGAGGCGGCTCCAGGAGAGGAAGCGTGGTGCTCTCTCAGGAGACGGGACCGCACGAAACCACAGCGTGCCACCAGCCGCACCCGGCCTCTATTTGCCTGTTTTAGAGTGCTAGGAACGTCAGCGTAGTTGGATTTCCAGTTCACAGCCCAACGCGTAGCCACTATGCCACCAGGGCGCCCTAGTTAGCAGGGGGCAACGTAAAGAAGAAAATTGCCCACCAAACCTGCATTGATCGATTCAGTGGAAACCAACTGAGAAGCATGCCGAGAAGGGGCGTGGCTGGTGGGCACAGAGTGAGACTCCGCAGAGGGCTGTGCAGAGGCCTGGCTGCTTGAGGCCCAGGGGGCACCCTTGTTGGATCCTGCAGCCCCTGCTGCCTGCCTGCCTCCCAGTCCCTGCCTGCCCGGCTCCCTCAGTTCCCAGGCTGCTCACCCTGAAGGGCACCACCTCTCCTGCACCCTCCACCCCTACACACTCACTAGTCTCAGGCCCGTGCTGTGGTTTCTGTCTACCCTGGGTTTGCCTGCGTGCCCCCACAGCTCCTGGCCTTCCCATCAGACCGATCCACCTGGGCCACCACCCTCTTCTCCCTGCACCCCTCACCCCCCACCCCTCCCCATCATGGCCATAGGGCCACCGCTGATCCAGGGCCATCAGACCTCAGGGTTCTCCTGACCCCTACCTCTCGCACCTGCCCCTCTGCAACTTGCCTGCTCCAGCTCCAGCTTCCCAAGGGTAGGTTTCCTCTCCTGCACCCTGCTCGGGACCCACCCCGTACCCCACATGATCGCTCAAGTCACATTGGTTAAAGCCACTGCTGGCGATTCTGACTCCAGGCCGCCCTCTCAGGGCAGGATGGAGCCACTCCACAGGGCTTTAAGGCTGAGCCTTTGTGGAAGCAGCCAGCCTCCTCTTTCTCACAGAGGGCTCACGGGCTCAAATCGCGGGCGAGCCTCAGGTAGCAGCCCAGTGCTCACCCTGTCATCCAGCTGATGCCGACCCATCGTGACTGTATGGCCGGGGCGAACTGCCCCCGTGGGTGTCGGAGACTAGCTCTTCGTGGGAGCAGAAAGTCTTTCTCCTGAGGAGCGGCTGGTGGTTTTGAACTGTGGGCCTTGTGTTCAGCAGCCTGATGCATAACCACCGTATTATGGATTAACAAAGGTCAAAAAGCTGGCCGTCACTGACTGCTGGGAGTTATTGTTGAGTGTCATTGAGTCGGCTCTGACCAACAGCGGCCCTTACGCACAGCAAGATGAAACAGTGCCCGGTCCTGCACCATCCTCACAATGGTTCCCGTGCCTGAGCCCACTGGTGGAGCTGCTAGGTGTTAGTCTGGGTACTTTAGAGAAACAAATCCACAGAACCTCAGGTATAAGAGAGAGTTTTATATAAAAGGTTAAATGTGCATCAAGAAAACATCCCAACCCAGTGCTGCACAAGTCCAACATTAACCCATATGTCCAACACCAATCCACAAAGTCCTCC